TGAACGTGGTGGAGGAACTCACTTAACATGGCCTGCCAAAGAAAATGGCACAGGGCTCCCCCGGGACTCCACTCCACGCAGCTCTGCAAGGGACTGGAGAGGCCTCTAAAGAGCCAACGTCGTGTCACAAAGCCTCACCTCCTCACTTTGTGATCCACTGTGCACCTCCTGGCTTTTGGCCAAACAGTTTGATACACGTGGCTTGTACAGGCCACTGTTTGCTTTAATACCTTAACCCTTATCTGCACAAGAGTTGTAACAGAGCCCGTCCATCCACAGACCTCGGTCCTGCCAGGTAGCAACGACCTTCCCTGACTGCGATCGTGTGTTTAGGAACATTTTTATCCTACAACGCAACATAAATTTTACATTTGCAAGTGTTAAATTTTGAAGTGAGAAAAGGGCAGGCAAGTAAAGACACAGATATAACGTAGAAGGTGTCTGATGAACTGAAAAAACACAGCCGAACTCTAAAGCTCCATCCAACGTTAACATTCTTTTGAAGAGCATATATATCTTTAAATACTGGCCTACCCTAATGCAAATGCAACTAAAGTGATAATAAAAACTCTCAAATAATCATTTCCTGGCAAAAACGATATGCTTAAGGCTCCTCAAAACTACCTGCATGTGTGAAATCGATGGCCTTTGCAAACCCACTGCAGCGTACGTTGGCCAAAGTAATGAAAAACTAGGACGGAAATTAAAACACAGATAATTAAAAATAAACACACAAAACCCTTTCCACAAATTTCATGCTTTTTGAAATCATTATCCTGCGCTGTTTCAAACCGCACACATTTGCAGAAATAATTTGTAAAATACATCAAAGTTCAATGGATGCTGAAAATAAAATTTAAAGTGAGCTTAGACACTGAACTACAAAGTGACTGTTATCAGGGTTGCAATCCATGAGACTTCTGCTACTAAATTTTTCTAAGAAGCTACATCTGTTCATGCTGCTTATAACCTGTAGAGATTAAGAAAGCTCTAGTACCTAAAATAGATTTAAAAAATGCTTACTGCACCTGTACAATACTATTCTGATACATTTTCATCAGTAACCAGCTGTTCATACAATGACAAGGTAGTTGAAACAGAACTCCTCCCCTACAACTCCTTTTTGATCACATTCCTATCCTACAGGTCCATACCCTGGAACTTGAGGTATAATCCAAGTACAGGACTTAAGTTTCCAAGATTTCAGGCCATACAATGAGATGGCACCTAATTATTTCCATTTTTCTTATACAATACCAGCAAGAGTTCTGTTTTGACCATGCATCTGAAAGCTTCTTTCTTCTCCATCATGTCCTGGTTTCAGTAATGCAACTTTATTCTCTTTTTTTTTGACTTTTTTAAGTGCAATCTGTCTGCCTTTTAAATGTATTTGTAAGGTGACACTACAAAAACATTTTCCTCATTCACTGTTTTGATGATACTTCTACGTGTTCTTCCTTCTTCCTGATGAGCCATATCATGACCAGCCTCTTTGCTCTCAGTTTCAGGGCTCTGCACAGCCTGTTCTTGCTCCACCTCTCCAACTGGAACCGCTATTCTGCACAGATACCCCCTTGTCACAATTTAAGGGAGAAAATATGAGTGTTGGCCTGGCACTTTGGGCAGGAAACAAGCTATCTGTGAAAATCCTCGGGGTGACAATGTTACCCTCCTCTAAATACATCCTCCAAGTCGGATGCCTATGAATCATTCCCCGATGCTGAGATAGCCAGGGCACTTGAACTTCTGCATGTTCCTTTGCTCACAGCATTCTCACAGCTCCCTTGTGCTTTCCCAATACATTTCTTACATTTACATGCTGTCTTATCTTTACATTTAAATTAAGAAATTGTTTGTGCAGAAGCTATCTTAGCTTATGCATTTGTACTGCCTGTAGTAAAATGGTGCCCTGGCCTCTAGGCACAATTATAATATAAATAATAAAAATGAACTGCTCACCTAAGATCAACTCTCCTGACAACGCTATCATGAAGGTACATCCTTCAAACAGTGATAAAATGCTGTTCCAGCATCACATTCTACCATCTGTACCTCTCCAGGTACTGATGGCACTGATTCCCAGTTCATCACCTACAGGAAGCCTCCACAGTTCCCTGTACCACTGGAGTTTTTCCTGATAACCAGATAAAACACAGAATGAGAGAGACATGGGCAGCACTGTCCTACTGAAGAATCCTGTGCTCCCTTAACATAAGTCTCCTTCTGGGAAGAGTTGAGAATCCTTGGCATCTCACAGGAGCAGATTCGAGGCAGTTTTCCATCTGTCTGCTTAAACTCATTAAATTTACTTAAAAACATGGCCTTCAGGAGGGTAGAACACCAACCTACAGCACTCTCCAATATGGCATCGTTCTTTAATGGAAGCATCCGTGGCTAAGGAATTATTCTATTTTGACTTTGCCAGTTTAATGCAGGGCTCTTCATTTTATCATTACTTAGACTGCACTTAGACTGAACATTCAGTGGAACATTTCCTATAATGGGATAAAGCGGTTGAACAATTTGACTGGCTAATAGTGATTTAGACATGTGATTACAGTACAGAAAATGGTCTGACATATGCTCTTTTATCTGGTTTACACGAGGCACATTAATCCAACTGGAAAGCACAGAAGTGAAAAGGAAGACAAGTCATAAGAAGAAGAGAGAAAATATTTTTACTTGACTTATTTGTACATTTGATAGGCTAGTTGTAATCAGTATTTTGTAAATAGCAAAACTTACAAAATAAAACCATTTTCTCTCCAAAATGGATGCAACTAAAAAAGACCTATATGTACACCATGAAAGTTAGAAAACAACTATTTTTTATAAAATCCTGGTTTCAAAAGCATTTATGACCTTTGCCTTTCCCAACAGTACAGGATTTCCACAAAGATGCAGCAGGATGCTGAGCACCACACCAGCCAGGAACAATCAGAGGGTGAAGAAAAAGAGTATTGATTCATTTTAATTTTTGTCTCACCTAATTTAATTTCCAGCTCTTACACAAACACTCATGTCAGCCTAACTCCACATTTTTACAGGAAAATTGTATTTCCTCCTGAAAGTGTTCAACAACATTTCTATGACAACAAAAACCTAACTGAAGACAAGGAATTACCTCTTTAGCACCCACTTTCCCTCAGGAGTGTGTACACAACCTCAAACTGGCCTAAGAAAATATGCCAATTTTCACAAGTTATACTATTTAGTTTTTTTTGTGCAGACTGGTACATTTCAGTTGCCATTGCATTTTTCTCCCAAAAAACTCCTTTAAAATAAAACATTGAAAGGTTTCCTATGTAAGGTTTGGATTCTGTATGTAGAAATAAAACCAAAGTATATAAAACTAAGCTTTAAAGGAGATGAATACAAGAACTTTACTGCTCGTACATGTTTGCCAACTACTTTCAATGATCACTATATGAAAATTTTGATCAACTGAATAGGTAAGATAATAAAAAGAGGGAGCTGCAACCAATGCACCTTCCCCAAAACCACGTGGGACATAAGAATCTTTGAAGGGAAACTTTCATCAATGACAACAGCTAAAAAAAAAAAAAATCCATGTATCCCAAACTAGTACTAATGCTGTCCATAATATATACACGTAAAAACAAATGGAGGAAAGCATAGCCTTTGCACGTGTTTAGGTCCAGCCCAGCAGAATCCCCTTGTCATGTTTCGGGCTTCCACTGTGACCTTATCGTCGGACTTGACCTTAAAGGTCTTTTCCAACCGGAATGATTCCAACACGGAAACTGGCAGCGAGGTCTGGGGTGGGCGTTCAGGGAAGCGCCAGGAATTCACCGGGACAAACACACTCGAGGGTGTCAAACCGAGCGCGTCCCCCAAAACAAAGGGAACGACCTCTGAACCCCGAGACTCGCACAGACCCCGCAGCGCAGAGGTTGTTTCGGCCACATCACGACACTCCCTTCTCCAAACGCGCTGCCCAGCTTTGCCCTATTACCGCTGCCATCAGCTATGCCATGGCAAGCTCCATCCTACTCAAAAATAACCCATGGGGGAGCGCAGCCAGCGCGGCAGCGGCGCTTCCCGGGAAGCCTCTGGCGGAGCCCGGCCTGGCCCCGCACCTCGGGCACCCACAGCGTGGCCACCCCCGGTCCACCCCACGGCGCTTGGCACTGCGGGATCCCCGCCCGGGGCTGTGGGAGCGGCGGCCCCTCGGGAGCGGCACGACGGGGCGGGGGGAGCGCCGGGGCTGAGGGAGCGCCCGCGCCCCCGGCGGGGAGAGGCCGCGGTGAAGGGAGATGTGCCAGCGCCGGGGAAACCGGGCTCCCCCCGCCATCCTCCTCCTTCTCCACCCCTCTCCCTCCGTGTGTTTGTTGTGCCTCGGCACCGTCCCGACGGCGCGTCCCCTCGGAGCGGCGGCCGCTGACAGCTCCCCCCGCGCCGCCCAGAAACTCCTGCCTCAACTTTGCGTGTGTGTGCGGGGAAAGGAGGCGGGGGGGGGGGGGGATGTCCTCCTCGCCACCCGCCGAGAACCGTGTTTTTCCTTCCCCCAAAAAAAAGAGAGAGGGGGCATAACAAGAGGGAAAAAAAGCGCCGAGGAAACACCGTCAAAGCACAGGGAGCATCCAGGGCGACGCTGAAAGCAGCCGCCGAGCGTCCTGGAAGGGAACGGACCCAAAAAGGAGAAGGGGGAAGGTGTAACAGCAAGGGGGAAAAGGAGGAAGAGGGTGAAGGGGGAAGAGCTAAAGAGAAACTCCGAAGAAGGAGGAGAAGAAAGGAATAGGGACGGTGAAAGAAAAGTGGGAAAGGGAGAGCAGGCGGAGGAAGACAAAGGTGAAAAAGGAGGAGGAGGAGGGGAAAGTGCAAAGGGGAGAGGAGGAGAAGAAAGAAGGGCCCTTCTCAAAATGGCATTAGGCAGAGGGAGGGGGCGACGAGCGGCGAGTCTCCACTGACAGCTCTGCCTGCGCCTGGCCGCCTGCCCCGGCCCCTCTGTGCCTCGCACACACAAACGCTGAACTTACTTCTTTCTGGCTCTCTGGAAAGGGGAAGCGCCATCTTTGCGAGGCCGGCCCCTAGGTCTTTTGTCTGTGGCTGCTGCTGCTGCTGCTGGGGGGGGAGCTCCAGGCTCGGGGGGCTGCTGCTGCTGCTGAGGCGGCTCCACCACCGCCACCACCAGACTCTTGTCCTCCGTTGACATCCTAGTCAGCAGGACGAGAGAGACACATGGATGATGATGATGAGGATGAAGATGAGGATGGTGATGGGGATCCCGATGCTCCTCCTGCTCCCGCGGCTCCTCTCCTCCTCACCTCCGCCTCCTCCACCTCCGCCTCGCATCGCTGGCCTCAGCCGCCGCCGACCAGCACAGGTAGCAGGGGGAGCAGCATGGGGAGAGCAGGAGGAGGAGGAGGAGGGGAGCGGGGAGGGGGGGGGGGGGGGGGGGGGGGGGGGGGGGGGGGGGGGGGGGGGGGGGGGGGGGGGGGGGGGGGGGGGGGGGGGGGGGGGGGGGGGGGGGGGGGGGGGGGGGGGGGGGGGGGGGGAGTTGCAAAGAGAAAGCGCAGAGGAAGGAAGGAAGGGTCTCACACACAATAACCCCCTCCCCGGCTCGGCGGGGTCTGTCGGGGGGCTGGGGGAGGTGAGGAGAGAGAGCGAGCGAGCGAGCGAGAGAGAGAGAGAGAGAGAGACGCGGCTGGTCCCGCCGCTGGGCGCCCCCGCTCAGAGGCCCCGGGCGCTGGCGGCAGCTCCGGCTGCGGCGCTGCCCGGCTGCGGCGGCCGCCGCTTCATTGTACCCTGGCCCTGCGCCCTCCCCCCGCGCAGAGCCCCCGGGGGCGGAGGAGGAGCGGGCGGCGGCGGAGGAGGCGGCGGGGGCCGAGGCCGAGCGGAGGAAGTTTTGACAGCTCCAGCTGTTGTGCGTGTGTGTCGAGGGGCTGAGTCCGGCCGGGCTCCGCGTCCCCTTCCCAGCCGGGCCGGGAGCAGGAAGTTTAACTTCGGGGGAAAAGAAGGAGGAGGAGGAAGGGTGGAAAAAAAAAAAAAAAAAAAAAAAAAAAAAAAAAAGAAAGGGGGAGGAGGAAGGAGGGGGAGGAGGAGGCGGCGCCCTGCCCCCCCTCCCCGCGGGGTGGAGAAGGGATCCCGGCGCTGCCCTGGTGTGTAACCCCCCCCCGCTCCCTCCCCGCCTCCCTTCCCCCCCCAACAGTGCGACACATAGACACAGCGACCGCCCGCCCTCCTCCTCCTCCTCCTCCTCCCCTGCCGCGGCCCCACACTGCGCCTGCCCCGCCCGCCCCCCGCCCGTCCCCCGGCGCAGACACCCATCCGCCGCCACACTGACCTCACGGGCTGGGCCGGGGCCGCGCCGGGCTGCGGGGAAACCGCGGAGCGGCGCCCGGACGGGAGGGGACGGGACGCGGCGCCACGGAGCGCTCCGAGCACCCACCCGCACCGCACCCCCGCGGGGGCTGCACGGCCGCTCCGGCGCTCACACACCCTCTCCCCTCCGCCCTTGCCTTTTTTTTTTTTTAATTATTATTTATTTATTTATTTATTTCCCTCGTGGAAAAAGGAAAAGAAAAAGCCCCGTCTGGATGAGAGTCGCCGCTTCGCAGCGGGTCGCCCCCCCCCCCCCCCCCGCGCTCCCCGGGGGCAGCGCTCGGTGTCCGCCCCGGCGGCGCTCGCTCGGTCTCCGCACTCCCCCCTGAGCCTCAGGGGGACCCCCGGGGAGGCGGCAGGAGCTCGGCGGCTCTCCGGGAGCGCCCCCCTTCCCCCCGCCGCGCGTCTGCGGCTCCGGGGCGGGGGAGGCGGGGGAGCTGCGGGCGCCCCGGGGGATGGGAAGGGAAGGAGGGAGGGAGCAGAGTTCAGCGCTCTGTGCGAGGGAGACAAAGTCTGGGGAGCGTGGCCGCTTTCCAGCAGCTCGGGCTGGAACAGCTGCGGCCGCTCGGGGCGGGGTGAGGGGCGGGGGGGGCTCCCCGGGCAGGGGCCCGGCTGGCTGCCTGCCCGCCCGGCTGCGGGGCGGGGTTAAGCCTCATTACACGGGATTTAACGTGTCCCGGAGGCCAGGAGGGACCCGGGCTCTGAGGGGGGGGGGGGGAGGGAAACACGGCGGCCTCGCAGCCGGAGAAAAGTCCGGCCACGGGGCGAGGAAGCGGCCGCGCCCCCGGACTTTCCTCCCGGGCGCTGCCCCGACTCGCTCCGGCGCCCGCGGCGGGAGCGGCACCGGCGGGGCCGCTGGAGCGGAGCTGGCCCGGGGCCCCCCCGCCCGGCACCGCCCTCAGGGCACCCCCGGAGCCGCCCTCCCCGCCGCGGGGCCCCAGCACGGCCGGCCCTCCCTCCCTCCTTCGCTCTCTCCTTCCCTCCCGGGCTAGGAGCGGAGGGAGCGGTCTCTTTGCCAGATGCTGAATCACGAAACGGGTCGCACGGACAGAAAAGGAAGGCGGTGACTCGTGTTCGGGAACTTCGCCGGACTGGCAGACGTGTTGGGGAGCGATAGCCCCACCAAGGTTCCGAGTAAACACAGCCCGTACTGAGCGTTTCTCCTGTGGTGGTTGGGTTTCTGTGTTTGAATCCCAGTTGATAAAATGGCCCGGGGTAGCACACAGGTACAACGAGGAAGGGAGGTAAGGAGGAGCTGATGTTAGTTGCTTTTTTTTTTTTTTTTTTTTTTTTTTTTTTTTTTTTTTTTTTTTTTTTTTTTTTTTTTTTTTTTTTTTTACGTAAAAATAAACACAAAGCACTCCAGACCTTTACAATGCTCTTCCTTCCCGAGCTTTTCACTTGTCAGCTTCAGAATACTAAATAAAAAAGGTACGCCGTGGCCTTCTGTTCGCCTGTTTTCCTCACAACCACTTCATAATAGAATGCCTTCATTGACTCATTTTCTATGTCTGTGAGTAATTAATTTAGACCTTTGTGCCATTTTCATGTAAGGTATGAAATACATTAGAAAATAACCTCCCTCTATACACATACATATACAAATATATAAAATTATATGAATTATATATCCCTTTTGCTCAGCCATGCAAGGACAGCAGCTGGATTGTTGGTGTGACTTTCTTGGCCCTGTCACTGAAAACGTACTCCTTTATGTCAAATTAAAATATATATCCCTAGGTAAATGTTTGTGTTATGAAGTCTGCAAATGACAGCATGGCTATACTGCTCATACAGCTTCAGATACAGGGTCTTAATCTGTTTATATGTTGTCTAACAGAAGAAAGTGCCTTTGAATTTTGTTAAGTTAGGATAATTTAACTGAAAACATTTAATAGTATACAGGCCCAGACTTGGGTGGAGGAGAGAGAAAAAAGGCGAGGAAGTGGAGGGAGAGGGAAGGGAAAGGCCACAGCCTCTGCACAGTAGGATCTCGCTGGTGTGGCATTTGCTAGAGTTGCCAGGTTGCCATCTGGTCTGCTGAAAAAAATGGCCATCTCCTGGAACACTGGCTGTGTGTGTGCGGATCCGCTGCACATGCGCCACGGCTTGGGTGAGTCTAGGATGTGTCAGAGCCACTCTGCATGTGCAAATTGATTGGAGCTGTGACACGTGAGCACACCGTGGGCTCAGATCAACTGCTCGGTGTATGGGGAATAGCTGTCACATCCCACAGCAGAAATACGTCAGGTGAAATCACTGGATTCGCTTGTCCATGTGTGGTTCATCCAGTCCTCCCATGGGAATGTTTTTTAACACCTTTAGACCACCTGTAAGGGGTTGAGCTTAGGGTTTTGTCTCTTGTAACAAAAACAGATGTGTGATTTTAATTTTTCTCCCCTTTTTAAAATATATTAGCTATGTATGTGTGTAGCTAACACAATGTAAAATCAGTTGGCTTTGTGGTCTGGCACAAGGACTTGTGCCTGTGAGTTTTACTGCTGTTCCTTATCTCATTACGTGTCCAAACACAGCTGGGCAGGTCTGTGCTGTGAACTGCTGCAGCCACTGCTATGGCAATCAAAGGTGTGAAGAACCATGTGGGACTGAGAGACACTCGTGAGCAGGAACCTGAAGCAGGGTTGGAATTGTAGGAGACTGTATTTGCAAGCGTTATCTATCACTCAGAGAAGGCAGAGGGACAAGCTAGGAGACGTGTCGCCAAACATAAATCCAGTGTGGGAGTGCTTTGTTGATTCAGGGTATTTGAACAGTTCTCTCAGGAAAATTTTTATGTTTATACCTTGGCCACACTAACCACCTATTATAAATTATCACTGTCTGGAAAACACACGTTTTTTCAGCAAATATGTAATAATGAACGAACAGGTTCTCTGCTTTACTGTATGTTAAGAGATCCTCCAGCCCATTGTGAAACTAACTCAGGTGAGCTGACACACCTGCTTTTTCTTTTTTTAACTTTCTAGGGCAGGCAGCTCTGAAACATTCAACTAGAATTTTACATTCTAGCCTTCCTTAAAACAAACATTTCTGTGGCTTTGGAGTTGTTTCTGAAATGCGAGACCTTTGCAGTACTGATTAAACAAGGCGTGTTAATGGTTTTAACTTCAAAACATCTTAAATTGTCCCAGTGTGCTCAATGTTCATAATAGAATAAGTTGAAGATGGGACGTTGTCTTAAATCAGCTATTAAGGAAAATGATCCTGTTGTAGAAATAATTAAAGGAAAATGACAACTAGTATGTAAGTACCATTTTGCCTTTATACAACTAGAGTGGTGTATGTAACAGGAATAATGAGAGAAGCATTTTGGATTCTATCAGGAGTGACATCCAGATACTTTCTTTTTTATGACATTAGTTCAGAATTCTGACGGTTTTAGGATTGTTCATCACTCTACATAAAGTAAATAAAAAGTTTAATTTTTGTTCTCTTCGTACGTGTGTTCCCATTGCAGAAACGTTCAAGTTATCAGAAAGGCTTTTATTTAAGCTACACCAGCAACATGCTAACATTTTAGATGTTCAGTATACTGAACCACTTTGCCTTAACCTGTGCTAAATTGATAATTGGCTGTGTTGAACATCTGCTTACCTCCGTGTGCTGCTCTAAAAACTGGGGAGAGCTTGGTGCCAGTCCCATATCCCATATGGCCATCCTTGGAGCAAACTTCAGGATAAAGGTGCAGTGGGCAGTCGAGTGCAGTAACCACAGCAGCTGCCCATGATATTTCTTTTACATCGGCATTCCTTTTCACCCAAGTAGTTCAGAAATAGCCAAATTACCATTTTTTAGAATTAAATAAATAAGCCCATGAATATCTAAAGGAGTTGTAGACAAAGCCTAAGTCAAGTGACAAAATCAGGATTATATCATACGAATACGTGACTCCTAGTTAATTTGCACTAAACTCGGCTGGACCACAAAAAATGTTAGCATATGTTAATTGTCATATGATAATGAATGCATTGTAGAAACCTAGTTTTAAACTTGAAATGTTTGTTTCTTCTTTTCATCA